GGGGGTAGACGTTGGCTCTGGACTTGAGGTGGAGGGGGTAGACGTTGGCTCTGGACTTGAGGTGGAGGGGGTAGACGTTGGCTCTGGACTTGAGGATGAGGTGGCAGGCGTTGACTCTTGACTCTTTACTGCTGTGCTCTCCCTGAATACTGTAAAAGCGACACCAGGAAAAGGAGATGGTTGCGTCTATGAAGCTTGGGCAGCAGGCGCGAGGGTGAGGGCGCTGCCCACTTTGATCCCAGCCCGGCACCGCATGCCAAGGATTGCTTTCTTACCTTTGGCTAAACAACAGCGCTCTGAGCGGAGCTTGCAAGCGCTCTGGACACCTAAGGCAACCAACCCTGCCTGACGCTCAGCTCTGGGCCACCCGTTACGACTCAGGTACCCACTACGTCACACTTCACACAAGAGGGAAACCGAGTCTCAGAAAGTTGAAGCATTCTCAGCTCTGCCCCCGGGAGCAGGCACCACCCCTGTCCAGAGGTTTCTAGAGCCCTGAGAACTGGGGAGCCCTGGATTAGACTAAGGTTTGAACTCTGCCCCGAACGCTGGCCACACCCCAGCCTCGCCAATCCCAGGAGTCAGGTGTCTGACTCACACTGTCCCTCCAGGCTCCTGGTTTCACATCCATCCCTAGAGTTCAGAGGCTGTGGAAATAGTTCCTGGTCTGCCTCCTGCCATGACTTCCTTCCCAGGTCCGGGTGGCTCCGACCAGGTGTGCGGGGCACAAGGTCACTGCTGGCTGCTTTGCCACTCCCTAGTCCTCTCTGCCGGGTGAGCGCTCTGCTTCCTCCTGGCCTCACCCACTCAGCAGATGAGGAAATAACATCTAGGTGCTGACCCTGAGTGCAGGGAGGGTATGCTGAGCCCACCCCTCCTACCCCTCAGTCTCCCAGGCCCCTCGGCAAAGGGATCTAGGGACGTGAGTCCACGCTGAGAAGTTTCTGGGAAGTGATGTTGGCTCAGGTACCGTAGTGGACCCCAAGCCAAAGCAGAACTTGGCAGTAAGTTAAGGTTCTAAGTGAGCTGATGAAAGAAGCGAGCCTTGAAAGAGGAGGTGGCGGCAGACAGCAGCCCTGCTGAGTACCTGGCCCCGAGTAGGTCCTCGTGGTTTACTGGAAACTTAGAAAGGACAGCAGAGCAGTGTGCCTGGCCCTGGGCTTTCCCAAGATGGAAGGCTGGAGCTGCCGAGCCTGTCAGTCGCCCTGATACGGTGGCTCACAGGCTGGAGCCAGCCTGGGCTTCCAGGGATAAGTGTGGGACTTTGGAAGGAAACCGAACTGTCTTCAGGAACAGACAGAGGGAATTAAGTCCGGTGCCACGAACTTCTCTACCCCTGGCCCTCCCCACCCTCAGGGGAGTGTGTGCGCGCGCGCGTGTCCTCTCCACTTTCAGGATGGGGCGGGCTGTGCTCGGGGCCCCTGAAGTGTCGGGGAGGTCCCTGGCCTCTGTCCCAGCTCAGGTGGCCCTAAGGGGTCGGTGTCTGGGAGGGAAGGGATCTGAGCTCGGTGTCCCCAGCCCCGCTGTCCCGCGGAGCCACGCCGCTCCCCTCCACCAGCTTACCTGAGAATACCAGGACGGCAGAGGCCAGCGCCAGCGCCAGCCGTCGGGAACCCGCCATTCCTGCGGACCGCCCAGGCTGCGGGTGCGCGGCAGCCGCCCGTCCGCGCGCGCTCCCTGCCGGCGAGCGCGGGGAGCGCAGGGCGCCGGTTCCGTCCCCACGCTGCCCTGGGGACACCCGCGCGTGTGGCCGCTGGGGACACCCCTGTGTGATCGCTGGGGACACCCTGTGTGGTCACTGGGGACACCCCTGTGTGGCCGCTGGGGACACCTCTGTGTGATCGCTGGGGACACCCCGTGTGATCGCTGGGGACACCCCTGTGTGATCGCTGGGGACACCCCTGTATGGTCGCTGGGGACACCCTGTGTGATCGCTGGGGACACCCTGTGTGGCCGCTGGGGACACCCGTGTATGGTCGCTGGGACACCCCCGTGTGGTCGCTGGGGACACCCCTGTGTGGTCGCTGGGGACACCCTGTGTGGCC